CCCGGAGTCGCTGTAAGACCTCCTGGACGATCTGCCGGTGTTTCCGGAGGTCGGAATGGGCGATCAGGATGTCGTCAAGGTAGATTATGACGTCTCCGGAGAGGATGAGGTCCTGAAAAATGTCATTCATCATCGTTTGGAACGTCGCGGGAGAGTTTGTCAGGCCGAAATACATCACCAAGGGCTCGAACAGGCCTCGGTCAGTCCGGAAAGCCGCTTTCCACTCGTCACCTTCCTTGATCCGGACGTTGTTGAAGCCCCAACAGACGTCGAGTTTGGTGAAGTAACGAGCGCCTTTGAGCCGGTTGATGAGGTCGTTGATCAGCGGAAGGGGGTACCGGTTTTTGACAGTCATCGCGTTGAGAGCACGGTAGTCCTGGACGAAGCGGAGTCCGCCGTCCTTCTTCTTGACGAAGAAGACCGGAGACGCCATCGGAGACTTGGAGGGGCGAATCCGGCCCGTCGAAAGCCCTTCCTCGATGAACGCGCCGAGCTCGCGTTGCTCGAGGGGCGAGATGGGGTACACCTTGCAGTTGGTGGGCTTAGCGTCGGGGACGAGTTCAATGGCGTGGTCCCAGGCTCTCCGCTCCGGTAGCGTGTCGAAGGACTCCTTGTTGAAGACGTCCTGGAACTCCTTAGCCCAGTCCGGGATCTCGGAGGGCGGAGGGGCGGAGTTCCTGGCGAAGGCTTCGGCCAGGCGTTGCGAGACAGTACTGCCAGCGGTATCTCCTCCGAGGGGCGGAACGAGGTGTAGAAGATGCGGTCACCATCTTCAAGCTGACCATCGTCATCGTCGTCGTCGGAGTCCGGCGTCAGATCAGGCAGGCCGGAGTCGTCACCGGAGACGGAATCGTCTCCGTCATCAGACCCAGAAAGGTCCATGGCGCAGACCGAGGGGAACGGGCCGGAGCGGAGACGCTTCTGAAGCGACCGGAGTCGCCGCAACTTGGTCCGTTCGACCCGCTCTTCCTCACGGCAGGTCGAGCAATTGCGGGGGCACCGTGTCATCTTGACCTCCTTGGTTTCCCAATTGATCTCTGGGTTATGTTTCCGCAACCAGGAATACCCCAGGATGAGGTCTTGCTTGCCAAGATGGGTGACGGCCAGCTGAACTCGTTCGGCATGGCCCTTGTAGCGCAGGACCAAGTCCGCGATCTGTTTGATGGAGCCAGTGTCATTGGGGGTGCCATCGACATTGAAAACCGGAATCGGCTGATCGAGGGTGCGGACTGGAATGCCATTCCGAGCAACATAGTTCGTGTCAATGAAGTCGGAGGTGGCACCACAGTCTACAAGCCCAGAGAGTGAGAGCTTCAGCGCTGGTGGTGGACTCGAGCTCTAACGGGAGGTGGAGGGAGTTCGCCCCAGGGGCAGCGGCAACGGTGTACTGCTTGGGCAGTTTCTTTTCCCAGGCAGTGAGGCGGCGGAGGACGATGACCGGAGTCGCGGGCGGAGTCGGAGACGGAGTCGAGGCGGGGGGAGGAGAGGGTGTGTCTTTCGTTTCGGGCTCATTGTAGGGCAAGGAACTGCATTCATCATACAAAGAGGCAAAACGAATTATAGACGCGAACGAGGGCACACCAGTCACTCGTCGGGGGGACAAAATCCTCTCCGGCCATCGACTCCGCTGCCGTCTCCGGCAGGGCAGCTGTGTCCGTGTAGCGGGCGATCAACTCCGCTAACATCTCGTCACCGAGTTGTTGGATCACCTCGTCGAGGATGTCCATTGAGCGGACATCGGCGGGGAGGGGGCAATCCCGGGCGAGATGGTTTGGGTCGCCGCACCTGAAGCAGGCGCGACGAGGGGCACCCCGAGCCCTGGTGCGATCCAACTCTATAGGGACGGGAGCTGGAGGCGCCGGAGCGGGGGCGCGGGCCGCAGGTGGCACGACCGGAGCCACCGGGCGGAAAGGGGCCAGAGCCGGGATGCGGTTGACCGGAAACGGAGTCCGAATCAAACCGCCAGGCGTCTTGGGGGCGGCTGACTTGATCAGCTTGGCCCGGACCAGGGCCTCGTATTGACGGAAGGCCCGGGTGCGCCAGCTAAGGTAATCCCGGAGGTCCGGGGGGTCGTTCGAGGACGTGATTCCGTTATTGATCAGGGGGTCAAGTCCGTGGCGGAACTTGGTCACCTTGACCAGCGCGTCTTCAATCCGGCGAGGTCCATCAGGTCCTCGAAGTCGTCGGTGTACTGGTAGACATCCTTTGTACCCATGTGATAGGCGGAAGTCTCCAGCTTGGAGAGAGCGTGATCTTGCTCATTCTCCTCGACGAACCGGAGTCGGAACTCGGAAACGAACGAGCCCCAGGACGGAAACGGAAACGGGGCTTTGCTTCCGTGGCGCTCCGCCCATTGCTGAGCGGGTCCTTCTGCCATAAACGACATGGCATAGCGGACAGCCTTTTCCTCGCTCGCCTCTCCGTTGACCACGAAGGCCTCAGGGGCAAGGCGGGCGTAGGTGCGGACCGCGTAGAGGAACGCGCGGCGTTTCCGGTCGCCGTTGAAGGTGAACGGGGGGTTTGGTCGCAAGACCAATTTTGAGGCGAGGTTGATGTCGCCAAAAAGGGCTTCGAGTCGCCCTGGACCGGAGTCGGAGTCGGAATCGACGTCTCCGGCGATGGTGTTTGGGGTCCGCCAGCATTATTGGCGGCGGCAGCGGCAGCGGAAGCCTGGTTGGTGAGTAAAGCAAGGGCCTCAGTTAGGCTATCGATTTTCGCCTCGAGTGAGTCCAGCCGGGCGTCTGCGGTAGGAGTGACTCCGGACGGCATAACGGGTGCGGGGACCACAGGAGTAGAGGAGGATGGGGACAAGTGGCAGGGGCGGTGACGAGGGCGGAACGGACTCGTACTCCGAGCCTGAGTCAGCGCCCGAACCTGGCAATCTTGTCCGGTTGATCCCATAGAGAGTTTCTTCTGCTGTAAGGGCAACCCCGGAGGCCTGAGATCAAGGTCCTAGCAGGGGAGGATCCAAAGGCGTGAACATTGGTAGCGAATACAAATGAAGCTGACCTAGCAGGGGAGGATCCAAAGAGAAGAAACTCTAAGGGTCCGCCTGCTAGGTAGCTGACTATATACTGCTTGTCCGTAGCTGCCGCTGTCGGGCACAGAAGGCTTGGGCGGCATCGCAGGCGAGGTCCCAGGGCGACCGTCGGGAGGGCGTTGACGGATCGGTGATTGTGCGGGCGAGATGGAGGGCCGGACCGGAGTCGGAACCGGAGTCGGACCGGAATCGGACCGGAATCGGAGGCGTCTCCGAGGGGCCGAAAGGGAGGTTCCCCTGACAAGGAGAATCAATTTCAGGTTCTGAGTGAAGATCCTAAGAACCAGTTCAATAAGTTGATTATAGAACTTATAAACCAGTTACAATTGCCTGCCCCTCAGCCCTTCTGGATTATTTGTCTAGATGCTCTTGATGAGTGTGGACAAGATCAGGGCCAGGTAGTTGTATCTTGGCTGACATCTGCAAGAGACAATATTCCTAGCAATGTCCGCTTTCTTCTCACTGGAAGGCCACAAGTGCCTGCAAGTATCATGTCTGGTCCTCTAAGGCAATCTGCTTTGGAAATAAAACTTGATCAGCTTGACCAGAATATTGTCAAAGCAGATATTGACAAGTATCTTCACCATTCACTTCCCCTTGCATCAGCCAACTGGTATGACAAGTCAAAGGCAGCTTCCACTCTCACCTACATATCAAGTCATTCTGCAGGGCTGTTCATTTATGCAGCCACCTTCATTAGATACATTGATGGTTATGACAGTCAAAATAGCTGGGATGAGCAAGCAGAATATCTGATCAATATGCAAACAGGACAGCAAGATCTCAATGCACTCTATTTAAATATTATGGTATCTGCTATCAAGCAACCAGATGCACAGACAGAAGACTGGAGAAAGGATCAATATGAAAGAGAACTCAATATCCTTTATATGGTACTTAATATTTTTGAGCCTGGCCAAATTACTGGATATGAGAGAGGAAAAAGTTTACAGGTGCCTGATGGGCCTGAGTGCTGTGATATCTGTTCCAAATTTGGAGGATACCACCAGTCTTGTGCAGGTTTATCATCTCTCATTCAAGGAGTTTGCACAACAACTACCACACATGATTCACAATCCAGATTTCAGCTGTAGCTCAACAAAAGCTCAAGCTTATGTTCTTCACAGAGTTGTACGCATATTATTGAAAGAGCTCAAGTTCAATATCTGTAAAATTCCAACATCATATAAATCAAATAAGGAACTAAACTTAGATATTATGAATCATATCCCATCATATCTCAGATACTGTACTGTATACTGGATCAAACATATCACACCAGATACTCAGAACTTCCTATTTGATATTCAGGACCTTTTGACAACTAGGGCATGGTTTTGGCTAGAAGCAATAAGTTTATTAGGTGCAGTTGCAAAGGCCATGCAGCAACAAGGTCCCAGGGCGACCGTTGGGAGGGCAGAATCAGAATCGGGGCAAAAAGGGAGGTTCCCAGACTGAATGCAGCACCCAGAACTCTTTTATAGTGTGCTAAAGATTGTCATGAACCTTTGTCAATACAATGTTACATTGATTTAAAAATACTTGAGACAGAAAAAGAAACATAAAATTACCCCCTTTTAACTTGGAACAGGAAAATCTGTATGACACATGAGAATTTTCTACCCTAACACTAACATTAAACCAATTAAATAAATCATAACCGTGCTTGGTATGTTTGACCTCTTTCTGCCGCGGGGTATTCCCGGGCCAAGCGCATGCTAGCACTGTATTGTCTAAGCCCTAAACGTCACCGGGTTTCCCGGACCGCGTCGCTACCAGGAAACATTTAATTGTGCTGCCCGCGCGGGCCCGTCGTGCCGCGCGCATCGGGCGGCCCGCGCCATCCGCTCCCCTACCCCGTGGCAGCGATCAGAGCGATCAGCGGTGCCTGACATCAGCGTTATATAAATCGCCATGGCACGAGACGCGGAGATTTGCCGTCCTTTTTTTCGCGCCCCACTCTTCCCTTCCCCACGTCCCCCCACGCACGACGCACGAGAAGAGAAGCGCGATGGCAGACGCGACAAAAACAGCGCAGGGACCCACGTCGGCAGGCGGGGGCGGGATGTTCCAGAATATACGCGTGTATTGGTGCGCGTTTGTGGTCTATTGGGTGAGTAGCTGGAGGAAAGCTGGGAGAAAACGCTGACGAGGCTGGGACTTGCAGGGCATCGTGCTGTTCGGATATGACACGTATGTCGCCTCCCTTGCTTGCTCCTTCCGTTGTACTCATCTGGACTTGACCCCAAGCGGTATAGCAGGCGGTGTCGTCTCACAGAAGTTTTTCCGGGCGCACTTTGGGCTGCTCGGCCCCGATGGGAAGCCCATCACCTCGAAGACCAACGCCATCTCCTCCAACGTCGTCTCCGTCCTCCAGGCTGGTGCTTTCTTCGGCGCTCTAGGCAGCGCGCCAATCTCTGGTGTGTCCTCCCGTTGTTTCTCCGACCGGTATATTAACGCTGCCAAGCCCGGATTGGCCGTCGGTGGACACTTGTGGTGTTCACCGTGATATTTTCTGTTGGCGCGGTGTTAACCACGGTTGCCTCAAAGCCCTCCAATGGCCTCGCCCTCATCTACGCCGGACGAGTCATCTCTGGCATCGGGATTGGCGCGATTAGCGCCGTCGCACCCGCATATGTCAGCGAGTGCAGCCCTAAAGAAGCACGAGGCCGCATTACGGGCCTCTTCCAGATTACGGTGGCCACCGGCGTCATGATTTCCTACTTTATCAACTGTGCGTTGTCTCTTGTTTTTCTTTTTGCCTGCGCTGACGGGTTGCCAGATGGAATTGCGCTGAACACGAAACTCGCCAACTCCAAGGCCGTGTGGCAGCTGCCTTTTGGCTTCCAGCTTGTCCCCGCCGGGCTCATGCTCCTCGGTCTGTTTACCGTCAAGGTATGCATCTTTCCGCGCAGCTTTTTCTTGTTGAAGCCTTTCCAGGAGTCCCCACGCTACCTCGCCACGCGTGACCGCAACGAAGAAGCGCTTCAGGTGTTGGCGTACCTCCGCCGCCTGCCCCCCACCTCTGACGCCGTGATCCACGAGCTCGCCGAAATCGAGAGTGCCATCGCTGAAGAGCGGGATGCCCGTCGTGGACTAGGGTGGCGCGAGGCCTTTTTCGGCAAAGGCAACTTCATCCGCTTCCTAATCGCTTTCTTCATCTTCTTCCTCCAACAATGGGGCGGACAGAACTCGGTTGGCTACTATGCTCCGCAGATATTCGCAGATATTGGATATATTGGCCCCAAAAACTCGTTGCTCGCGAGTGGGATCTACGGGGTGGTTAAAGTCGTCGCAACCGCCATCTTCGTGCTCGGCTTTGTCGATTCCTGGGGCCGCAAGATCTGCCTGTTCGTGTCCGCGATGGGCATGGGCATCTTCTTCTACATCATCGGCGCTTTGCTGAAAAGCTTCCCTCCCCCAGCAACCAGCTCCGTGGCCAACCCCGACCCGCCGCCCGCCTCAAAAGCAATGGCCGCCATGCTCTACCTCTACGTCTGCTTCTACTCGCTTGGGTGGGGTCCCCTCCCGTGGGTCTACTCCGCAGACATCTTCCCCACCCGCACGCGGCACTACGGGCTCGCGGTCGCCAGCGGCAGCCAGTGGCTGTGGAACTTTGCGCAGGCCAAGGTCACGCCCGGCGCGATCACCTCGCTCGGGTACAAGATCTTTTTGCTCTTCGGCACGATCAACATCGGCGCGATGGCGGTTTTCTCGCTGCTCATCCCCGAGACCAAGGGCCGCTCGCTCGAGGATATGGACGTCATATTTGGCGCGACGACACGCGAGGCCCGCGAGGCGCATATTGCGGAGCGGGAAATGGCGCTCGATGCAGGCAGGGATGTCAAGACGGATGCGGACGAGAAGGTTTGAGTAATGGCTTGGTTTTTGTATAGTATAGTACGCGTTTAGTACTCGCGCTGACGTTGAATCGATTTGAATGACCCAAAAGTGCTTTTGATTTTGTGTTGTAAGTCTAAGGGCAGGTAGAATGATCTATAAGCTAGCCGAATGTTAAGAGGAAGAGACTTGAGCACTGAGCTCCTTCGAGCCTCCTTGGGAGCATGTGTGTTCTAGCAGGCGCAAAGTGACCGTTTGTGAAGGAAGAGTGACTGCGGGGCGCAGACCGTCGCGGTTTGAGGCGAGCTGAAAAAGAGAGACGACACGCGAGATGAGGGCAAAGAAGAGACGGGTGATGGTTCACGTGACTGCCTACTCGGCACATCTGTAACTAGCTTAAATATCCTATGATATTCTTGAGTTGGATCTAGCTGCATTTGGACATCCAGAGGACTTGAACAGTAACTGGCAGGAGACCGGACGACCGGATTTCCAGGTACCTGTTGGCCAAATACAAATATAATATGGAATTGACATATTATATTATATTCATATCATATTTGCTGCTTGCATACTTGGAAGAATATTATATTTGTAGTATATTATATTCATATTTCCTCTGAGATATTCAATATGATATGAATATATATTCAAATATAATGTAGTGATCTCGAATGTGAGCTCTAAGGAGTCATTACCATTTGTTCAACTGGCCTTTAGCCATTCCTTGGTAATGATACCAATTGTCACTATCTTTGTTGGGCAGACATCAGATATTGTATGCTTGAGACAGAATAACTGAATCGAATACTATAGTATTTTGTTCAATTTTACCTGTGACACCTGTGGCAGAAATGTGTAACTTAGCCAATACTAAATAGCCAACTTTGATATGGTCTCCTGCCTTATATGGTAGGTCTGCACACTATGAGCACAGAAAATTTAACAATTTACAATTTTGGGCCAGTTTAGGACCTTAGAAACTTGTTGTGACCTGTGACGGGCACAAAAATTGCAGGCAAAAATGTTAATGTCACCATGACAGGGTTAATTGATATAGTGGATGTTCCATAGATACACTAAAATCAGGAATAGTTAAATACTTGACTATAATTGAATATTCCTAGGCAGTAATATAATGATATATTATATTATATTCAGCTATATTAATATTCAAGGTCTGCACTGACATCATATTATATTCATAATATCCAGAATATGTTCAATATTTATTCAAAGATATTTATTTATGGCCAGCACTATTTCCAGGCGTATCCCAGGCTCCAACACTGTGCAACAGAGTACTTGCACAATTGAAATTATTCAATCTATATGTACTAGTACTTAGCTCATAGGTATGGCCAAATGATTCTACATTGATTTACATTCGGATCCAAACTACGAAACGTTCGCCCTATAACATCCATGTCAGTGTCTCTAGTATTCTCTATTGAGGGAAACAAGGCATACTCATACTGTCCACCTACGTTTCCCGCCGGGTAGTACTCGCAGGCATAGAAGTTGGCGCCGCCCTGGAAGCGATTAGCGCGAGCACGGGAAGCGGGACCGTACACACGTATTCGGGATATATGTTGGCACAGAACGCCACTAGGTCGACTCAGCATCGTTTGGACGATGGAGAGGGGGGTATGACACACCTGCGCATCCGACGCTCTTCGTGCTCTTCCACACCATCTGCGTGTAGTGCGACGGCTGGTTCGGGTAGTCTGCCTGCATGTCAGTCATTTTCACAACCAGTCGGCCTCCACGCACACGTCTCGCCAGCCCACTCGCCCGTCGCGTCCTCAATCGTATACGGCCTGCTGCCCACCGCGAGGTTTTCTATTACCTCATCAGCGGTCTGCCAGTGGTCCACAACTACGATGAGGCTCACCGCCATACGGCCCGAGCGCGCCGCCTGAATGCGCGAACACACAGCGGTTGGCCCAGCTTTGCGCGGCACTGGCGAGGTTATCGTCCCAGGCGAGGGGCTCGGCAGCGTGCTGCGCGCGGAGGGTGTTGTGCGCCGCGAGGTAGCGCTCGAGGTCGGTGGCGGTCGTGGAACTGTCCCGCGGGTCTTTTTTGCTGGGCGAGAGCGGGTGTGGGTGTGGGTGTGGGTGTGGACGGGGGGAGGCCGAACCGGAGGCGATGAGCAGGGCGAGGACGGCGAGGGTGATGCGAAACATGGAGAAAGAGGACTGAAAGTCGAGGTGACGCCTACGAGTACGAAGGTCATACTTATACGTGCTCTCAGCCGAGTTACGCACCGAGTTAGATGCGGGAGTGGGACCTCGCGCGGGATAGGTTGTGGCAAGAGACCAAGGGTGGATTTGGGCCGCCGTCCGAAGCGGTGAAAAGTGACAGCGCCCGCGCGGAAGTGCCAACAAGAATACCATTCAGGGTATGCTACATTCAAGACCAGTTATTCGGGAACTTCCTCGGACGACCCGCGCGAGTAGCACTTGTCAACCTAAGAGGACGGTTGTGGTAATTCTAAAAGCTTGGGATGGCCGCAACCGCAAGAGAAAAAAGAGCAACACACGATCTTCATGTTTCGGACCAGGTTTCGGATTTCTGCTCTGCCCCCTGCCGCCTTCCCAATCTAAGGTGCCCCAATCTAAGGTGCGCCGGTCCGTGTGCTGGAAACGTCGTGTGCGCGACTAAACATCGCGGACAAGAGTCAAGTGGTGGAATGCGTGATTGATTCGATGATGCGGATACTAATAGGTTGCGGGTTCGATCCTCACCAGGACACCTATTATCAGATTCTGTGTGAAGGCTGGGCCCTGGCTGAGGCCGGAAATTCATCAGACATAGATATTAGGTCGTAGCCAGACCGAGAAAAGCTGCAATTATGATTATGTACCACAATCAGACCAATTTACAGGTGTCCTCAGAGAAGTGGTCCGGCAGGATGCAGGCTACTTAATTAAAATTAATTTGTACTTGATACATCATAGTGTGATTTGTTAACACCAGGCTAGGACAAAGACACCATAAAATGGTCATCTGATATAAGCTATGAGCAAATGTTTAATACAAGAGAGTGACATGCACAATAATTTGGTACAAACTGGGACCCACTTTTGATGAGTCTTATTTTTCATTTATCAGGGTTTTACTAGTACAATGGACCAATTTTTGTAACACCATTTCTCAGACATAGGTCCTTCCTTGAGGACTATTTTTGTTTAAAACCCCAGTGTGAATTATTGCATACTGTATGCACACCGGGGTTTCGGACAAAAAAGGTGGCCCAAAGCAGGACTTTTTTGTGGGAAAACCAGTGTCAAATGTGGTCAACCGATTTGAGTCACGTCAGGGCCTATGATTTATGTAAAGATTGGGCCGAGTGATTTGGGCCTGTATCTCCCACAAAAAAGTCCTACTTCAGGTCACCTTTTTTGCCCAAAACCCCGGTGTGATGCCTGCTTACCCTGAGTGATGGCTGACACATCATGTGTCACCATGATGATTGTGATCTTTGGTCATTCTTCTTCCTGACTCCCATGGCTGAATCCACGATCTTACCAACCGAGCTTGAATGGTACATATTTCGTCTGGCCGCATACAACGCCAGTGATCTAAGCGGCATCCGTGTGCTCATGCAGGTTGCCTGGCGGGTTAAAAATTGGTGATTTGGCATTTTGCATGCCACGTTCCGCTCAGCAAGGACGTTATACAGGACCGAGCCACTGCTCTACCGCGTATTTGCAATCGGATACAGCCCCGCCAATGCGCGCTATATCGCCCCCAGCATCCCTGTCCTGGACTTCTTTGCCTTCACCCGCCTTGTGCAGGACAAGGGCCCGGCGTGGTTTGCGCAGACGGTGGAAGACCTGCTCCTGATAAATCTACATCCAGGACCGACGGCGGAGGTCCTCGCAGCATGCACGGGTGTCCGCCGTCTCACCGTTTCCACACTCCGCCCTCGCCGTGATGACCCCGCCGTTCCCTTCGAAAGCGCCCTCGCCGCGCTCACACGCCTGGAGGTCTTCCACGGGCGCCTCGACCATTTTTTCGACGTGCTAGCATTGGGCTTCCACATCGCGGACCAGCTGTGCCTTGCGCATCTCACCCACGCCGAGCTCGTGGATACCCCGAGCGCCGGCCGGCCGCCGGTCGACAGGGACCGGCTCTGGCGGGCGGTCCTCGCACTGCCGTCTCTCACGCATCTCGCCTGCTCGACCGCGCACTGGGCTGCCCTGTCGGCCGACTCGGCCGACGCCGTCGTCGCGGCGCTGCACCCGGCGGGGCGGCTGCACGCCTTTGTGTTGATCCGCTACAGCCCCGGTACAGTCCCGCGAGTCAGCGCCGCGCTCCGGCAGCGCGCGGGCTTCGTGTTGTTCATCCACGGTATTGGATATTGGGCGCAGGACTGGAGTAACGGCGCGAGCCTGCACGAGGAGGGCGACTTTTGGACGCAAGCGGACGAGTTCATCCGGAAGCGCACTGCGGCAGCGGGTGGTGACAACGGTAAGAGTACTTCACTGGCACAGATTATTGATCCTTGTGCGGCTTATAGGAGATACCTATGCCCTGCATACACCCCATCCAATACCAAACCTGGACCAGGACTGGGGGAAAATAATAGAGTCCTAAATGATGGCAGTGCCTTGAATGCATATTCCACAGTTATTCCTGACATGACTTTTAGCTGTCTGATATAAGTATTTGGGCTTTTGACAACTTGAAGCTTTTACCTGTTGTTTACCTGTAAATTAGGCTGGAATATGCATGATGATCATATACTACTAGTAGTAGTGTCTCTTTCAGGCTGTGAATCCTCCTTAAAACAGATCAAGCTTTTATTAAATCAACCTAGGGAGCTTTAGAGTTTGGTTGTGTGCTCAACTACAGTATTGCTCAGTTACGATGGAAGCTGGTCACGTACTTAGATGCTCCAAGGATCTGCCCCGTGCCCCACCAGCTGATGGTGTGAATTCAATGTGAATTACTTACCTTCGCTGAATTTATTCAACGATGGCAATCACTCTATGGCGCCGTGGTATAGTAAGCGCCGTATACTACGGGTACGGTCTCCAGGCCATTGGCAGACCCATATTCAGATCCTCAGAAGTTGTGCGGAAGGCGACACAAGCCCGCTTCTGTTACGTACTCAACGCCAACGAGCGGAGTATATAGGTGGTCGCATTGCGCATATACCGGCCAGCAAAACTATACCGCCATGTCTCCCCCTTTTGCTTTGCGCCTTTTCTCTCTGACCGCCCTCGCGGGGTTGGCGGCGGCGACCATTCGCACGTACGACGGAAACGGTGCGAATTCCAATTCGGCGGGCGGGAGTCGGTGCTGATTAATGTGGACAGCGACGCTGTGGACACCGAGCTTCTACCCCGGCGCGTGCGGGACCATCGTGCACGCCTCAGACCACGCAGTCGCACTCTCGGCGAACCTCTTCAGCACGACGCTTTGCGGGCAGATCGTCGCCATCGAGAACACAGGTAAGCTCAAGCCCATACACCCCCAAGTCTGCTTTTAACTGCTTGCGCCTATGTTTTAGACAAGGGTTTCGGCGGCGAGGTCACCGTGGGCGACCTCTGCGACGAATGCGCGCCAACGGATATCAAAATCACTTCTGGCGGATATGTATCGCTGGCGGGTGGCGCGGACAAGTTCCCCGCAGAGTGGGTTTTGGGAATCTTTGATTAGCACTTGGTGTTACTTCGGCCCTGTCGTTCAAATGGATCCCGAGTGAATCGTTGTTCTCCGAACCGCATCGAGTTTGGCACAATAACGACGGCAAGAAAGCCCCGCATGAAATGGATGCAAATAGATGTAACATTTCGACCAAAACTTAGAGCAATGTATATTAGGGTGGGCTATTGTTGGAGTATCTGCAAATACGGGTTAGCGCTGGTTTCGGCTAGCGAGGCACAGGTTACACACCTATGAAGCCGGTCGCCATCTAGTTCACTACCGCCTTTTTCTTCTTCGCAATGCGTTTCTTCTTCTTCCCGGTCCTGCGCTTTTTGACTTTCGTTTTGGTGGGCTTGGGCTCCGGAGCCTTGCTAGTTGTGGGGGCGGCCCCACGCACACGCAGTCTCCCGTCCTTGAGCGTCTCGGTGACAATAGGGCTGGCGGCAGGGCGGAATTTATAATCGTTCGAGTAGCTAAACAAGGTGTTGGCAGTGGACTAGCGGGAAGGGAAAAGAGGACATACCGATTCGCATATATGACCTTTGGCTTCGTCTCTTTCCCAATCCCACGCCGTAGGACTAACCAAGCTAGCAAGGCGACGAGGAGCATGGAGAGGAGGTGTCTGCGCCATAGCGGTTTGGGCTGGATTTGAAGGCGCGGTCGAGGGGGAGGTGTACGGGGTTCCTCTGCCGTAGGGTCAGAGAGGGTTACATCGTCTTCCTCCTCTTCCTTGGGCTGGACGGGCTTGTCGTCGACGTCGTCAGCAAGGCCGGTCATTGAGGCACGTAAGCGTGACCGGCGATCAGTCACGAATCGCTTACCTACTCTTCACGCCCATCACATACCCACCCTCCCCGCGTCGCCAGTGGATGAGCACGTACTTCTCCAACCACTCCAACCAGTCGCGCTTCCTCGCCATCTCCCAAGCGAGCTCCACCACCACCACCGCGACTGCCACTGTCCCAGCCCCCGCCCCGCCAGCCCAGAAGACAACCCGCCGCTCCACATCGAAGCACTTCTCCACCTCTGTCGATACCCACCACCAGGACAGCGGCTCATCCAGCCCTGCGACCCCGATAGTCCACCCTCTGCGCAACACGTGGGTCTTCTGGTTCCGCCAGCAGCGATCGCCGGGGAACAAGCTGCTCGATTACGAGGAGGGCATCAAGAAAATCGCGTCCTTCGCCAGCGTCGAGTCGTTCTGGTCGCTGCAGACACATCTCACGCCCCCCTCTGCGCTCACCCCCACCACGGACTATCTGCTCTTTCACGCTGGGATTGCGCGCCCGGTTTGGGAGGATCCAGGGAATATCAATGGTGGGAAGTGGATTTTGCGTCTGAGAAAGGGTGTCGCCGATCGAATCTGGGAGTCCCTGCTGTGTGCCGTGGCAGGAGACATGTTTGCCGGGCATCGCGGTGTGTGGCTTGCTCATCCTCTGCTCCATTCATATTGACGTCTTTCAAGAAACGAAAGACAGCTGGGAAGATGAAGACTCGTCAGACATCGACTCGAGCAACAACGCCGACTCTGTCGATGCCCTCCCCGAGATCTGCGGCTGCACGATAAGCGTGCGCGCCAGCGAGGATATTGTGTCGCTTTGGAACCGCGTCGACCACGATGTTAAGACGCGTGAGCGCATTCGCGAGACGATGAAGCAGGTGTTGGGGCTGCCCCAGGGCACAAATCTGGAGTACAAGTCCAACAACGGTGCGGCTACACTTATTCATTTAGGCTATTTTGCTTATCTCTTTGGTAGACTCCATGCAGGATAAGGACCGCAACGCCTTCAGAGCATTGGCTTCTTCGTCCTCCCTCTCGTTGTCGACCTCTCTTGGAACGATCTCTGCCGCCGCTTAGCTTAGCACCGAATTGTTTATTGCTACTTCTATGTAATACCGCGTGAGTATACCTTGTTGTCTGCATCATCTGTATCTTTTCTGCCCTCAATCTCAAGAGAAAGGTTAGGAGCCAGCGCTTATTATGTATTTGACAGAAGTTCACAGAAGCTCACTTTAGCTCGTAATCGACTCCCGATACTCATGCCTCGAGAATTCAGGGTCGCCTTGATGAAGCAACCTTAAATTTATGTAACTTGACGGGTCGATGAATCTCACCACCTTACTTTGCCCTTTCCCTCCACCATCCACCGACGAGCAAGTCGGGTTATGCATTTTCACTTCGTGCGGCCGAACGGCGAGCCCCTGCCACGGTTAACGTTGGCGTATGTCGTTCTTCGAGATGTGCTTATTGGGCTTGAAGTTGCTCATTTTCACCTCGCAGTGTAAACACAACGGTCTGTGGTATCCAGTATGGAACCGCAGGAGCGCTTGCCGGTGGCCTTGTCCTCGGATCCGACGCATTCTGGCATGCGTCCACTGTCTTGCAGCTGGTGCGTGCTAGCATAGCATACTAAGTTTTGGTACGAATATGAACCTTTTCTACGCAGGGCACGCGCGGAGGCTATCTTGCACTCAGAGCCAGCTTTGGACCCGGCGCTCTGGCCTTCGGAATCTGCGGAAGTATCTTCGGTTTGACACTTCTCCCAAGCATCGCCGCCGTCGACGCTGGCGCCGCGTACTACCGCCAACGCCTGCCTGTTTTCAGCGAGCATTTTGACCGCAAATTTCCAGAGGGCGTGGTCAGCGAGCTCCTACCGGCGCTGGTTCACCTCGGTGGGGTCATGTACCTGTGCCGGCATCGCATTCCCTGGACAAAAGCACCAATGACCAACGGGTTGGCGTTGTTGGGGTGTGGCCTGGCCGTTGCGGCGCAGGATGCATTGCTTGTAAGGTACCTGATAAGTAAGGGTAGACCAGCTATGTCTTTGCCCCCCAAGGTCTAATTGAATGCATATACATCTCTTGAATCAATTTTTTTTCATCCGATAAGATAAGATAGTCGAGCGTGACGTCGTGACACCAGCTCTTTCCTTTTCTTTCTTCCCTGACATGGAGCCATGCCTCTGCACGAAACCCGCGGTGAACAGATGTTCCGCATGCAGGACAGGTATATACTCCAATGCATTCCGTCTGCTTCCCCTCATAGTGACCCCCAAACAGTTTCTTATTGTGGACCAGTTTGCCAGACGGGTGAGTGGCATGGACCTGTAGCGCCAGCTGGAGCTAATTTGACGACCCATAGCCGACTGGAAGGCGCACAAGACACATTGCAAGGCGTTTCAGAAACTCGGGCAAGTGCCGCCAGTTCCGGAAACTCTCCTGAGGCGCCTTGAAGAGATGCTTCGTGTTGGCCGGCAGCACACGATCTACGAGCAGAGCTCCGCGCTGGGGCTCGATCCCAGCCTGATATCCGGCACGATGTATGTGTTACACTCTTTTCGTCGCGACGGCAATGCTCATTGGAAACCAGCGGTGCGGATGTCTTCAAAGAAAGCGGTGAGAAAGGCCATTTTTGGCGCCTTGGAGAGGACGAGCGAAAGAAATGGGACGACAAGGCGGCGGCTATTACTCGCAAGGCGCAACAATTTTGGATATCATACCTTTCTCCGTTAACGTCCGCCTTTTCTCAATAGATTTCGCGGCGTTCTGACATCGATTTTGCAGTGTCAAATATGAGTGGGTTGATATTGTGTTGGACGCGGTCCTCAATGTGAGGCTTCCAGGGTATAACAATGTTATGTGGCAAAACCAGGTGCGTGTCTGTCGTGCAAGAAGTCTGAAGCACACTGAAAATATAATGCAGGTCAACGCAAACATCCTTGCCGGCCTCTTTCCACACCTTCATCGATTTACCCCCACACAAAACACAACTCTCCTCGACATATTTGCCTCCCCTGCATGGCATGACGACGGCACTTTCCGTCTGGAGACTGGAACCACTGTCCTCTTCGCCCATGGCCGACCCACAGCTAATTTGATTGACCAACTCATTGGCCGTTGCTTGAGCTGGACACGACCGTACTCTGAAATCGACAAGCTTTTGTGTTGCGTCGCGCTTCCAATTCAGAAGTGTTGGCCGGACATAGCGGGTACACGAATACTTGACCTCGCATTTGCGATGCTCAGTCCGGGGAGGCCCGGTCCTGCCAAGGGAAGAACGGTACCCGGCGACAAAATATTGGAGGTTAGCTGTCCGCTTTCAAGCTTTCATGTTGTCTTATTTGTGCTAGATCGCCGAGACATCTCCCACCGCCTGCAAGCACTTGCTGCCGGTAATTCATATCATGTGTCGTGCGCGGTCACCACCCATGATCAGCCATCCCGACAATCGAATTCTTGAGCTGTGCGAATCGTTCGGCATTTCTTTACGCGACGACGAGTCTGGTCTAACCGCCCAACTCGCGAGGGACTTCCGGTTTTGTGCCGCCAGTACGAGTAGAATGGAGCGGTTGGTTCTGGAGGGACGGGCGGGCGAGTTAGACAAGTATGGGATCTCGATCAAGGACCACTCGCTAGCGGAGCTCAGGCAGATGAACAAGGAGGCCATGGATCGGCTGGGAAACCCTCAAATTCTTTGAATATCCGATTACAAAGTATGCAAGTTCTTCCGATATTACTGTTAAGTTACAAATATTACTTAGGTCGTATATTCCAATGCTATTGTATCGTATTCGTGATTGTCCATGACCACAACAGTGACGTCTGTCCTTGGTCTTCAAGTTGTCATCCGCGATGCTTCTCCCGCGGTCTGACCTTGTCGTTCCTCAACTCTAGAGGTCTTGGTCGTCCATTCATCCGCTCATAAACCCCACACGCATTGCAGATCTGCGCGCCCGCCTTGTTCCTCCGCCACACACTCGTCTTGCGTGTTCCACAGTGGGAACAGCTGGGGGCGCTTGGGTCCCCGCTATCAGACTCGCTTGTCATTTGCTCGCGGTCGACATCGATGAGTGCTTGTGGCCGGGGGGCGCGTCGCGTGGAAAGATAAACCCCACATGCGTTACACAATGGCGCGTGGGTCTTGGGGTCTCGACGCCAAACGGGGGTGCTTGTCGCGCCGCAGTGGGAGCAGCTTCGCTGGCCGCCGGAGGGAGTAGGGGGCGGTCCTTCTGTTAACTGGATTGTCGGGGGAGCTGCCGGGCTCCCATAAGGACTGGATGAGCTTCCCGACGATGGGTATGGATACGGCTGGTGCTGCGATGCAGACGAAGCTTGGTAGCCATTATAGTTGCCGTAAGGACTGGCTGCTTGCTGCGGATAACCAGGGCTGTAGACTGTGTTTCTGGGATCGGCATATTGCTGGCCTTGTAAGCCTGTTCCTGGGGCTTGGTTGTATGCTGCTGGAGGGTAGCCAGTGTTGGGAGGGAAATATGCTCCCGTGTTTGGATCTACGATATATGGTCAGCACTTGTAGCTCTAGCAGAACCGGACAAGCATACCTTGGTTCCATCCAGTTTGTGCTGGCCATTGATTGTAGCCTTCTCCGCCTGCGTTCCAGTTCGAATTCGGGTAACTCATTTCACGAGTCGTCGCACAAATGGCCTACTCGACTGAGTAGAGCGAGAGCACTATCGGAGGGTAAGCCTACGCAGCCTTTCGTCGAAGGTATTTCAAGCAAATCCTTGAATGACTCACAAAAATCGCGCATTAAACTTGTTTCCGTCCTATGCCGTTGGGCCGTCGCAGGGCCTCTCCATCCGTTTAGCCACATCCGACCGCAGCGTATGCGCGCGAGGCGCCGCCATTCGTGAATCTCCCTCGTAACGCCCAGCTGCAGTTTCACAGTGAATGGCCGGAGTTCTACTGCCCGTGTGCCTCCTAGATTCAAGTTGTGGGCCGTGATAGTTAGAGGTGTCGTTGGGGGGGGATGACGTTCAGAGCCAACGTCGGACGCGGCCTGTCAAGCGCAGATGACTCACGGGGCGATCTCCCCGCTCGCAGCTGCACCGGATGAAGGCACGCAACGCGAGCGAGTCGACCGGCGCGGGACCCGACATGACTCATCTTCTCGCAGTGATTCTTGCGCTGTCGATCACCGATAAAACAAAATCAAAGTACTGTGCAGTGCTCGTGAGCGATTGCGATGGTCCTGAGTCCGTGATTGCGAGGACTTGCTGCGTACTACTAGGCCGCAGGCGCGAATCAGATAGATCCTGCCAACGCCACGTGCCCACTCGAGTGGACACGGCGTAGACAGGCGCATCGAGACTGTCAGTGGCTTGCCACCAACACGAAACGGGGAGGGAGCATCTGACGCTGTAGATCGACCGCGGATACTAGTAGACCTAAAAGCTAACAAAAGAATCAATATACTTATGTAGTAGCAAAGCTGTAGAGCGCAACTCATTGTGGTTGTGGAGTTACTATTGGCTCCATCTTGTGCCTGGCAATAGTTTGTGCTACCAGCGGTAGATGAAATACTATCCAGCCGGGAAGATGTGGATGCGGCCCCGGGCCAGGGGAGGTATACTAAGTACCGTCGACGTCTTGGTAGCAATGGGCCCAGGTATGATCATATAATACTGGAGGTGTACGAGACTCGAGTCTACGCGCAAGGGTTTCTGAAAACATTGAATATAGCACCGAGGGCCAAACTTGAAATTGAGCACTCAATATTAAGGAGTTCAGCGTTGATATGGTCTAGCCCATGGACCACTCTGTCGGGATGTTTAGCTTTACGGTAGCTGCGGCACAAGTACTTACTGACTGGCAGACTGGGACGTTCAGGCAGGTCGAGAAATTAGAATCATCTCGGCAGACAAGTCGCCGGTGGGGCCCGGAGCCGAAACTTGAAGTCGGGAGAGTTGCGGGAGAGGAAAAGTGTGATGAGTCACACGCTCTCGGCTTCGATGATGCAAGAAATCAAGAAGATACTTATCCGAAAACTTTCGGATCCCAATGAGTCTGCCAGTGACATGGAAAGCAATCGAAAGTTCACCATGAGAGCTATATTTTTATGGAGAAATTGGCTTTAAATCCACCTCTTGCTCTGCAGTCGCCCTGCAATTGTCCTTGAATTATCCATCCCCGGAACCTGGCCGAGCGTTTTGTGCAGTATCCATGGTGATAGCCTGATTCCTGCCAGATCGATATCGCCGAGGATGTGATGTCACGGCACCGCCACCCGACACCCATGTCTTTCCTTAGGTGGGGCGCGCATGCTCTTGACCAGCATGTCGGCGCCGCGCGTTCGACAAAAGCGATTACCCAAGCCGCCAGCGTGTGATGCATGCAAGGCGCGGCGCGTACTGTGCCATCCTCAGCCAAACGGTGCGCTAGCTGGCAGGTGTCTTCTGTTGCGTGGTGCTGAATCGTAGCCTTAGGCGCGCCCTGTCCGCGATGTGCTGAGAAAGGGGTCAAGTAAGTGGCTATAGTGCTGTGGCGCTCTTAGCGTTTGCTCACGGGAACATTTGAGGTGTACTACGACGTATGTTCCCCGGGGGCGCCCACGACAGATCATTGCTCCATCGAGCGAAGCCCCTCCTGTTACGGCCAGCTCTTCATCGATGGCTCTTCTCACCATGGATACGATCCGTATAGAGCACGGGCCAGAGCTGACTCCCCAACGCGTCGCCCATTTCTTCGATTGTTCGTGGCAGCGTCACCGTCCTCTTCAGAGTTGACATACGGCAGGTTTTGAGCATCTTCCACAGATCTTGCACCCACTCATCAAGGCCACCAACGTGAGGACCTACATTCGCTCGGTTTCCTTCCAGCTTGACCTGCTTCCGCCACAACTGGGCGTATTGGCGCTCTGCATTATTGCGTATACTTCGCTCGTGTCCTTCGACGAGTCTGTCCTCGGCCCAGGTCTGCGGCCAGCATCCTTGGGTGATACGACTTTCTTCGAATCACCGGAGTTGGTTGGACTGTGTGGGTCACGGCGGGCGCCAGCCTGTCGCGCCTTTCACACGCGGGCGTTGCGTGCGGCATGGGACTTGGGTATCATGCTGCAGCCTTCAAAGGAGAACGCGGCTTCGTGCTGGATCCTCGATCTACTCGAGCAATGTGAGTTTTTTCTCCTCTTATTTTCGCTCCGTCAATATATTACAGATGATTTTTCCGGACTCTCAAGGCCTTGGGCCACCGCATACATCTCCCACGTCCGCGCTCTGGCACCGATATGGAGGGCAACAAAGGATCCAGTTGTACAGAACCCCGTCGAGTGGGCGGGATTTCTTGTTAGTTAGTCAACCTCTGGGATGTATGGCGACTGATCATGAGGATATGTTACAGCTGTCTGAAGCGTTGCTCTCGACCCGCAGCCGGAAACCCCTACTTGTGTATGTCATTGTTCACTTGAGTTCCAATGTGTTGTGACTAAAAATAACATACTAGAACTTTAGAGGACCAACTTCTTCTCTCTGGCCCCGAACCAGGTTCAATGGACGAATTACTCGCCACATTGGAATCCGCGGCCTCGTCCGATCGGCCGGACCACGTAGTCTATGCAATGACGAAGCCACGCAAGTTCTTTTCTTTTGGCCGTGGTAGATAAGCTGAGTTGAATCATTCAGTCATGTTTCATGCCACAATACTTGCGCGCACGCTCTGGCAAAACCTGACCGGCGACCACGCCCGTTTCTCGACTATATCCGAATCGCACGTCATCCACTTCCTTTCCTCCTTACAACAAATGCTGGCGATTTTGAGCCATGTGCTGTCGAAGGCGGAGCTCTATCTCACTATCACCGATGCAAACTATCAAGGGGACGCGCCACGCGGCTCGCTGGCCGCTGCTGGGCGCGACGTTTACGCGGCTGCGCGAATTCCTAACCCCGCCGGAGCCTTCAAAGTCACGCAGACCAGTGATGCCGCCGCGGTCCGCGCATGTGCCTACGGGCTTATCGTAGGGTTTGCGGCCGTCGCATTGCCCTTCGAACAAGAAATCCGCTTGAGGCTCGAGTTACTAGATAAGCCCGACCAGTCGCCGACCGAGCGCCGTCTCTTGGCGCGGCTAACCACACTTTCCTCGCAAGCCAGGGGACTCACGCGCTCTGCCACGAGGGCGCTGGCGCGAGGCATCCGCCTCTTGCCCGCAGTGCACTATATTCCGGCCCGCTTCAACATCATCAAGGAATACGCAAAATTTGCGCTGGAGGATGTGTGTATGGAAACCTTCGCCATGTGGGACCCCCGCCTGCGCGACCTCGAAATGTACGCCCCCCCCCGTTATTGCCTTTTCTAAGTTTGATCGACGGATGTAGCTTCCTCTCAGAGCTGACAATGGCGCGGTACTCGCTCGATCTCAGTCGCCAACCGGCAACGGAGACACTGATCGGGCAGATCGATGCATACCTAGCACACGCTTCGATGTTCTGCAACCCTGACAATGCCGGTGCTCCTGACCGTGGATTGGGAGCAGTCGATCTAGATTTGGCGGCTTCTCTGGATCCTGACGCCGCGCGCCACGGACGTATTGGCCTCGAGGTAGCGGTCACTGATGCACATGCATTTGCTGCTGCGTATGGTAGTTTAGGTATATAAAACTATATAGATTGCTGGTGGTGTGGACGTGGAAGTATTGACTGGCCCTCCAGAGTCCAAAGTTTACTCTGAATCCGGCTCCCAAAAGTTAATTTGAAAAGTATTAAGTTTCTCAATGAATTTTCTTTTTCCACATTGCACTGAACAGCGCCCATGCATCCACTACTTACCTGAACCAGCTGCTTAGGGCTGTAGGCACCTGTTACTTGGTAATTGATTTTCTGGCTGGGATGGCGGCCGGTATGGATGCGGATAGGCGAGGACTCGGAGCACCGCGTGCAGGTGAGTAGGGGGGACTGCAAGGCGCGTGGGTCAGGTCGGATGTGGTAGAGGCGATGGAGCGGTTTGTGCAACTTGCAAGGGAGCTCGAGCGGATGTACTAGTGGTGAAGGACTTTCAAAATAGTTCTGGTTTGTGATATTGTGATGAGTAGTAAGGGGATCACAAACGACACTTGCTGCGTGAGTTGATAGACAGCAGAAATACATGTACAGCAAAGCAGATGCATGATGCAATCAAGGATTATCTATTGCCCCAAAATAGACATTAATCATGATCATGATATCCGCCACCGCACATGGTACTGCCTGATATCGCTGGCACAGTGATGCACCGCCTCCCACACCTCTATCTCATACTACCATGACTCCCGCCCCTAGCTCTGCGCGTGCTGCTGATGCCATTGGACTGGCCGCCGAGCTTACGACAAGCATTCCCATCGCCGGCGGAGCCGTTTCCGGCTGCCTCAAAGCAACCAAGGGACTTCTGGAAATGGTTTCTGTAAGTTGTTGGGTCTAGTTCCCGTTTAGTCGATTCCGAGCGTATTTGCATGCAGGCTGCCAAGGATAATAAGAAGGAGCTCCCAAGTCTCATCGGCCAGTTGAAAGAAATCTGTGACATGGATATTAAAAAATTAGCTGATCTCCCCGATGTACTGGATCTAGTTGCAAAATTGAAAAGGTATGCTAGCATATCTCTTCATTTAGTTATTACTTGATCTGTTGGTGACATTTGCAGCAAACTAGACCCATTCATTCCCCAGTGTGAGAACCTTCTCCAGAGCTCGAATAAGAAGAGAAATTTCTGGAAAAGTCCATCTGTCAAGGCAGATATCAATGATATCAAGGCAAAAGTCCATACCCATCTTCAGAAATTTATGGTTAGTGACATTAAACTAATTGGGTGGATATCATGAGCTTAGCTGTCTTGTAGAGTGATGTGCAAATATCATTGTTTATCTTCATACAGGAAATTCACACTGAGGGTAAAGTTTATTATTTGCAATTATACTCTAGACTGATTGTTGAAAGACAAAATCAATCAAGCTCTCAGCAGGCTGGAGGCAAAATATATCGCAGCTCAGTATAATGCTGAGAACACCCCTAAATCCTGTCTAGAAGACACCAGAGTTGCAGTCATTCAGGAGATTATTAATCGACTAACCCAGGCTCAATATCCAGAACAAATTGTCCTGCTTACTGGATCAGCAGGATCTGGTAAATCCACTATTGCCAAGACTGTAGCCGTGAAATTAGCAGAGAAACATTCTCTGCTTGCTGCTTCTTTCTTTTTCTCAGATAGATTCCCTGGACGCAGTGATCATAGAGGCTTACCTATTGCTCTGGCTTGTCAACTTGCAAAATACAGTTCAACGTTTAGGAAGCTCCTAGGGACCTTTCTGGAGGAAAATCAATTTCAGGTTTTGAATGAAGATCCTAAGAACCAGTTCAATAAGTTGATTATATTACTCTTAAACCAGTTACAGCTACCTGCCCCTGAGCCATTCTGGATCATTTGTCTAGATGCTCTTGATGAGTGTGGACAAGATCAGGGCCAGGTAGTTGTATCTTGGCTTACAGCTACAAGAGACAACATTCCTAGCCATGTCCGCTTTCTTCTCACTGGAAGGCCACAAGTGCCTGCAACTATTATGTCTGGTCCTCTGAAACAATCTACTTTGGAAATCAGACTTGATCAGCTAGACCAGATGATTGTCAAAGCAGATATTGACAAGTATCTTCACTATTCACTTCCTCTTGAATCAGCCAATTGGCATGATAAGTCAAAGGCAGCTTCCACTCTCAGCTATATATCAGGTCATGCTGCAGGACTGTTCATCTATGCAGCCACATCTGTTAGATATATTAATGCACCTGACAGTCAAAATAGCTGGGATGAGCAAGCAGAGTATCTTATGAGCCTGCAAACAGGACATCAAGATCTCAATGCCCTCTACTTGAATATAGTTTCCTCAGCTATTCCACAACCAGATACACATGCAGAAGACTGGAGAAAAGATCAATATGAGAGACAGCTGAACATTCTCTATATAGTTCTCAATCTTTTTGAGCCACTTGGTCTTCATGATCTGGCAAAATTACTGGATATAAAGAAGGAAAAGGTTCACAAGTGTCTAATCAACCTGAGTGCTGTGATATCTGTTCCACATTTAGAAGATACCACTAGCCTTGTGCAGGTATATCATTTGTCATTCAAGGAGTTTGCACAACAACTACCACACAAGATTTACAATCCAGATTTTAGCTGTAGCTCAGGAAAATCCCACGCATATGTTCTTCACAGAGTTATACAAGTGCTATTGAAAGAACTCAGGTTTAACATCTGTGAGATTCCAACATCATATAAATCAAATGATGAATTAAACTTGGATATCATGGATCATATCCCATCATATCTCAGATACTGTGCTTTATCCTGGATCAAGCATATCACACCAGATACTCAGAACCTCTTTGATATTCAGGACCTTCTGATGACCAGGGCATGGTTTTGGCTGGAAGCAATAGGTTTATTAGGAGGAGTTGCAAAGGTGATGCAGCAAATAGTTCAGGTACTACAGTGGATGAAGGTCAGACTAATCACAAGTCAGGTATATATAATAATGATAACTGTACAGAATGATAAATACAGGGCCATGTTTGATGAGATTGCAAGATTTTTACAAGTCTTTGGAGGATGCATCCAACATAGTACACCGCATCTTTATGTGTCAGCATTAAATATGATCCCATCAACTGCAGAACTTCTAAATTCACAACTGGAGATGCAGGGTCTGAGCAAGACTCTTCAGATCACTGAGGGAGCTTGGGAAGACTGGCCACAGCTCATAAGGACCATTGAGCATGAGTCCCCAGTTGAAATGGTTTTCTTTTCACCGGATGGGCAATATTTGCTCACATGTGATTTCTCCTATATATGTTGGTGGGATCCTACAACAGGCAATTGCCTTGACTGTATTGCATATCGAGATAACTTTCGGTTTAATACAGCTTCACTCTCATTTGACGGCCAGTACATTGTCTCTGCATATGCAAAGAGTATGCAAATATGGAATGCCATTACTGGAGATCCTGTGGGGCATGCACTCAAAGATGTACATACTGACGACATAGCCTGTGTTGCATTCTCACCAGACAATGAACTAATTGTGAGTGGGTCTTTTGACCACACTATCAAGATATGGCAAATGTTCCCTGCCATCTCTGAAAAGCTGGTTCTCTATGGGCATACTGGCAGGATCCACTCTGTTGCATTCTCACCAAATGGCCAGTATATTGTTTCAGGCTCTAATGATAAAACTATCAGACTATGGAATCCCATCACTGGCAATCTCATTAGACATCCTCTGGAAGGACATACAGACTGGGTCCTCTCAGTGGCATTCTCAGTAGATGGACAGTATATTGTATCTGGATCTAAAGACAAAACTATCTGTCTATGGAATGCACTCAGTGGTGATCTTGTTAGGAAGCCTCTTCAAGGACATACTGAACAGGTGAACTCAGTAGCATTCTCCCCAAATGGCCTATATATTGCATCTGGATCTGAGGACAAGACTATATGTTTGTGGAATGCACTTACTGGAGAGCCTCTTGGGCTTCCACTCACAGGACATACTCACAGTGTTCTATCTGTTGCCTTCTCACCAGATAGTCAATACATTATTTCTGGCTCTGATGACCATACTGCACGGATATGGAACATATTTAATAAAGATGTTCAAGACACAGTCTCTTTGATTACTTCCAATGAAACCAGAATCAATCAAAGATTACATTCAATTGGCAAACATACTGCCAAGGACCCTTCTCATCAGGAAGGACATTCTGACTGGGTCAACTCAGTTACATTCTCACCTGATGGCCAATATATTGCTTCTGCATCAAGTGATCAGACTATATATATATGGAATTCCCTTACTGGAGCCTGTATTGGCAGTCCTATTCAAGGGCATACTAGTGGTGTGTGTTCAGTTGCATTCTCACCTAGTAGCCAGTATATTGTCTCTGGGTCCACTGATAAAACTCTTCGAATATGGAGTATATTGACTAGAGAGCATATTGGAAATCCTCTCAAGCATAATAATACAGTGTTCTCAGTGACATTCTCATCTGATGGCCTATATATTGCTTCTGCAAGTGAAAATACTATCCATGTATGGGATTCAGCTACACAGGAACTTATCTGGTGCTCTTCTGGATCCTTTGATCCGTTCTACTCTATTGTATTTTCACCAAATAGCCAATCTATTATTTCTGGCTGTTATAATAACATTGTGCATATATGGAATATTAAAGATGGAGCGCCTATTGCTCCATATTCACTTCAAGGACATACTGATACTGTTAATTCAGTTTCATTCTCCCCAGATGGTCAATATTTTGTCTCTGGTTCTGCTGATAGAACTGTAAGAGTATGGAATACTTTGAGTAGGAATCCTGTAGGAGATCCTCTTGAAGGCCACACTGATGATGTCCATTCTGTTACAGTTTCTTCAGATGGCCAGTATATTGCCTCTAGTTCCTGGGACCATACCATCCGCATATGGAATATAATCACTAGAGACCCTGTTGGGCCACCTCTTGAAGGTCACACTGATGCAGTTCTCTCTGTTGCCTTCTCTCCTAAAGGCAATCACATTGTATCTGGTTCTAAAGACAGAATGATTAGAATATGGAATATGCCAACCCAACCTCTGA